TTTCCGCGCGGCCTATTTGCCGCTGCCACCCGCTGCTGCTGCTGCTGCTGCACCTGAGGAGACACAATGGCAGCAGCAGCAGCAGCAACAGACCTGCTGCAGATCTGCAGCCGCCACCTGCTGGCAATGCTGGAGAAGGTTCCGGGCCTCAAACTTTTGCTGCTGGACTCTGAAACACTTCATGCTGTTTCCTGTGTCTTGTCGCAGTCAGAAATACTCCAAAAGGAGGCAAGCACCTTGCTGCTGCTGCTGCTGCTGTTTGTGCCGCTTCTTCTGCTGCTTTGCGTTTGCTGCTGCTGCTTTTGCTGCTGCTGCTGGTGCTGCTGCTGCTGTTGCTGCCGCTGCGGCTGCTGTTCTATTGCTTTCTGCCTTTGTTGCTGCTGTCACTGCTGTTATCAGTAGTGCCGCTGCTGCTGCTGCTGTTAATCCTTTGCTGTGTTTGCTGCAGTGGTATGTGTTGCTGCTGCTTCCAGTCCTGCTGCTGTCGTTATGCTGCGGCTGCTGCCCTTGCTGCTGCTCCAGCCGCCGCCACTGCTTTGGCTGCTCCTCCTATTGCTGCTGCTGCTGTTGCTTCTGCTGATTCTTCTGCTGCTGCTGCTGTTGCTTCTGCTGATTCTGCTGCTGCTACTGCTGTTGCTTCTGCTGTTTTTGCTGCTGCCGTTGCTTCTGCTGTTTCTGCTGCTGTTGTTGCTTCTGCTGTTTCTGCTGCTGCTGTTGCTTCTGCTGCTGCTGTTTGTGCTGCTGCTGCTGTTTGTGCTGCTGCTGCTGCTGCTGTTTGTGCTGCTGCTGCTGCTGCCCTCTCGGCTCCTTCCCTTTAGCCTCTGCTGCAGCGCCTCAACAGGGGCCTCAACATACACCTCAGAAGCACAATTAAAGTTTATTTATTTATTTATTTATTATTTATTTACTTATTTATTTATTTATTTATTTGTTTGTTTGTTTATTAGGTTTTTTTAGTTGAGAAGTTGGGGGCCTTGCCCCCTGGCAGCTACGAGCACATGAGTGCTGTTTGCTTCGTGAGGCCCACGCCGCTGCTGAACCAGTGGACATACACCGTAAGCAGCAGCAGCAACAGCAGCACCAGTAGCAACAGCAGGAGCAGCAGCAGCAGCAGCAGCAGCAGCCTTTGTTTCAGGTTTCTGTTTCTAGGGCATGTTCGTTTGCTGCTCGCTATAGCTGACTACCTAGGTAGCAATAGCTAGCAATGGCTAGCTAGCTAGCAATAGCTAGCTAGCTGGCAATAGCTAGCTAGCTAGCTAGCTGGCTGAACAAGTCTCTAGCCAGCTAGCTAGCTAGCTAGCCCCCTCTATGGCGAGGTGGCGAGTTAAGCAGCTAGCTAGAGAGCTGGCGAGCCAGCTAGCGAGCCGCCGCTACTGCTGCTGCTGCTGCTGCTGCTGCTGCTGCTGCTGCTGCTGCAGGCAATGGCCCACGAGCTGCTGGGCATTCGTTTCAACCGAATAGATTTGAGCAAATCTCCGACGGCGCCTCCGGACCTCAAAGAAGTCCTTTTGGACGAACGCCAGGACCTCTTCTACCGCAAGGTGAAGATGGCTAGCTAGGCATGTGGCCAGCTAGCTAGCTAGCTAGCTGGCTAGCTAGCTGGCTAAATGGCTAGCTAGCTAGCTAGATGGCTGGCGGGATAGCTAGCTAGTTGGACGGCGAGATAGGTAGCTAGCTAGCTAGCTAGATGGGCGGCGAGATGGCTAGCTGGATTCGCAGCCAGGTGGCTAGCTAGATAGCTAGCTGGCTGGCTAGCTAGCTAGATGGCTGGCTAGATGGCTGGCTAGCTAGCTGGCTAGCTAGCCAACTAGCTAGTTGTGGTTTGTGGCTAGCTGACTAGGCAGTTACTAGCTAGGCGGGCTAGCTAGCTAGCTAGCTAGCCATCCTTAATTACTTTTTAACTAGCTAATTAATCGTTTGATAATTTTCCAATCAATTAATAATTGACGAATCTATTAATTAATTAAATAATTAAACAATTAAATGAATGAAATCAAACAATTAGTAGGTAAATAACGAAAGATTTGTCTAATGAGTTGTTTTCCCAACTTTATGAATTCAATAGACTTATTGTTTTAATTGAGTTGCTAATTGAAATGATTTACCTTTCAACTGAATTGCAAATTAAAGTGATTTATTCTTTCCGCTGCATTTGCAACTCCGGCGCGCCGGGGTGTACGTACACCTCAGAACTGCATGGCGAACTTCGGGGAGCTGGGGGTGGCGGTGAAGCAGCACGTAAATGAGTATCAAGAGAAAGTGAGTTTACTAGAATTAATTTGTCCTTTTGAGTTATTTAAAAGGAACAATTTGAATCTATTTCATTTTAAAATCCTTTTGAAGTTTTAAAATCCTTTTGAAGTGCGTTTCCAACTCAACTCCAATTCCACGCCACTTCCGCCAGCGGCTTTGCGTTTATTTCCGGAATTTTCCGCCGATTTCCGGAAACCTCGCAGACTTTTATCTTTTCAAGACTTATTATTCTTTTAATTTAATTTAATTTCTTTTTTTGTTTATTTTTGGCTTTTTTCCGAACAATTTTGGGAGAAAAGGACCTTTTTCGACGAGTTTCCACCTGAGAACGCCGCGCGGCGTTCTTGTGCAGCTTTTCATTTCCACTTCCTTTCTTTGTTTCCTTTTCTTTTCTCCTCCGGAATATCTTTTTGAATTCATTTAATGAATTCGAATTAAATCATTTATTGAATTAATTCATTTCTGAATTAGTTGGAATTAATTCAAGAAATGAATTTATTCAAATTGCAAAATTCAAGTTTCATGTTTTGCTGCAGACGAAGGCCAGCAGCAGTTTGACCAACTTAGAGGCCCTCAAAGACTTCGTCGAAAAACTCCCCGAGAGCCGCCGCCTTTCCAGTGGGTTCTTTGCTGCTGCTGCTGCTTTGCTGCGCAGCAGCAGCTGCTGCTGCTGCTGTTGTCTTGCTGCTGCTGCTGCTGCTGCGGTCTTTCCACCGCCTCTGCTGCTGTTTTTGCCGTTTTACGGTTTTTGCTGCTGCTGCTGCCGCCTTACTACTGCTGCTGCTGCTGCTCTCCTACTACTGCTGCTGCCGCTGCTCCCTTACTGCTGCTGCTGCTGCTGCTGCTGCTGCTGCAGGTTCTGTGTTTAAGCATGTGGGAGTGATAAGCGAATTGTCTCGAATTGTGCGGGAGAGGAATTTGCTGGTCTTGTCGGAGCTGGAGCAAAGCCTGGCCTGCAGCAGCAGCAGCAGCAGCAAGCAACAGCAGCAGCACTTCACCGCAGTCTGCAGCCAAATACAAAACAAACAAAACACAAATTTAGACAAACTCAGACTCGCGCTCCTCTACTGCATCAGGCGAGGGCTGCTTCTGCTGCTGCTGCTGCTGCTGCTGCTATAGCTGCTACTGTGCTTGCTGTTTCTGCTGCTGCAGCTGCTGCTGTGCTTGCTGCTGCTGCTGCTAGTGCTACAGCGTCTACTGTGCTTGCTGCTGCTGCATTATTTGCTGCTGTTTTGTTGCTGCCGCAGCATTTGCTGCAACTTTGGTGCTGCTGCAGCACTTGCTGCTGTTTTGCTGCAGCAACTTCTGCTCATGGTTTTTGCTGCTGCTTAGGTGCTGCTGCTGCTTCAATTCCCTTTTCTGAAATGCTTCTTTTTGCTGCTGCTGCTGCTGCTGCTCAGATACGAAGGCAGCGAGACTGTAGCAGCTGTGCGGGAGGAATTAGCTGCTGCTGGCCTCCCTGGGGACTCGCTGCTGCTGCTGCTGCTGCTGCTGCAGTACTCCAGCAAGAGCAGCAGATCTGAAGATCTCTTCAGAGACAAATCGCTGCTGCAAGTTGCAAAGAATCTCGCCAAGGGACTTCAGGTGTTTTATTTTATTTATTTTATTTTATTTATTTTGTGCTTTTTGTTTGTTTTATTATTTGTTTTAAGTGTTTGCCAGCTACTTGGTATTTACTTAATTGTCTTTAGTTGCTGCAGAACTGTATTTGCTGCTGTGCTGCTGCTGCCACTGCAGCTGCTGCTGCTGCAGTGGCAGCAACAGCAGCAGCAGCAAAGTACAGTTCTGCAGCAACTGCTGCTGTGCTGCTGCTGCAGTGGCAGCAGCAGCTGCTGCTTCTGCTGCTGTCCTGAGGTGTATTGGCAGTTTTCTTTTTGGTTCTTTTTTGTTTATTGATTTACTTCATTTATTATTTATTATTAATTAATTTGTTTGTCATTTTGTTCATTTTTAAATGATTTGTTTTCTTCAAATGGAATTGAATTTATTTATTTTCCTTTTCCACTTTTGCTGCAGGGAGTGGCCAATGTCTATACACAGCACAAAAGCCTTTTGAGTTCTGTGGTGGAGTCCCTCATCAAAGGCGAGTCAGCAGCAGCAGCAGCAGCAGCTGCTGCTGCTGCTGCTGCTGCTGCACTAATTAATTATTAATTAAACTATTTCATAAGTGAAAGATGCCAGTATATGGCAGAAGCAAAAGGCAGCGAATGGAGCTGTGGGCTGTACTGTTGAAAATATATTTCAAACTTTTATTATTATTTTTGCATGCATGTAAATCTCCACATTTTATTTATTTTATGATATATACATTGTTTCGATTTATAGATTTATATATTATTTATTCTGTGAAGTATATATATTAATAAGTAAATATTAATAAGTACGAACGCACCCGCACTTTGGAGTGTACGTACACCGCGTGAAGTGTATGCATTAGGACTTGAAAGAGAGTGTGGGTTTGCGGTGTATGTACAGCCCCTGTAAAGAACAACAATTTGAATCAATGAAATTTGAATTAATTAAATTCAAATTTCTCTTTTTGAATATTTTTGTTTTCAGGAAAACTCAAAGAAAGCACTTATGCTGTTTTGGGCCCCAACAAAAACCCCACAGCCGCAGCAGCCCCCAGAGAAGGACTGCAGACGGCAAGTGCCTCTTAGAAGTTTATTTGCCAACAAGGGTTTAGGGTTTAGGGTTTAGGGTTTAGGGTTTGGGGGGGTTAGGGGTGAGCAGTTAGTGTGGCAGTTAACTGCAGCAAGACCAATAATAATAATAATAAAAATAATAATAATAAAAATAATAATAATAATAGTAATAATAATAATAATAATAATAGTAATAATAGTAATAATAATAATAGTAATAATAATAATAGTAATAGTGATGATAATAATAATAATAATAATAATAATAAAGTTAAAAAGTTCAATTTGCAAAAAAGCAGCAAAGCAAATTTGGGGTGGCGTGTGTGAGTGTTTGGTTTTATCTTAGCGTCGACCTTGGGTGAATTTTGGCATTTAGGAAATGAAGAATTGAATGAAAGTTGGAGAGTTTTGAACTGTTTAATTATTTAGGTTTTGGTTTTTGTGATTGGAGGAGCGACTTACCAAGAGGAGCGGGAAATGCAGGAGCTGAGCAGCAGCGCTGGGGTGTCTGTACTGCTGGGGGGCAGCAGCGTGGTGAACGCGAAGCAGTTTCTGGCGGACGTCGCGCAGGTCCAGCTGCCGAATGTGTGAAATAAATAAATAAAAGTTTCTTTTGCGTTCAGAAACAGTTTTGATTCCCAAAGAGCTTTCGTTTTGCAAAAAACTGCAGCTTTCCACGCCCAGTTTTGCCCCAGAGGCGCCCGCCCGCTCTTGAATCCAATCAAGTGCTTTCGGAAACTCAAATTCAACTGGACCTTTTCACTAAATGTTAATTCTATTTCAATTAGAACTCAATTGCAATTCAATTAAAAGCTTATTTCGCGTTCAGAAACAGTTTTGATTCCCAAAGAGCTTTTGTTTTGCAAAAAACTGCAGCTTTCCACGCCCAGTTTTGCCCGCCCGCTCTTGAATTCCAATCAAGTTCTTTCGCAAATTCAAATTCAACTGGACCTTTTTCATTAAATATTTGTTTATAATTTAATTATAATTTAATCATAATTTAATTTTAATTTAATTATAATTTAATTATAATTCAATTAGAATTTAGTTGGAGTTCAATTGGACTGTTGGCGGGTTGCAGTATTCAACTCGTTCAAATCTTGAATTCAATATTTTCATTCAAACATTTGATGCAAACTTTCATTTAAAATGCAAACTTGAATTTCATTTTTAATTTTTAATAAGTAATTAACAACTTCAACTTCCAGTTGGGACAGATAATTCAAATTAAATCCTTTTTACTTTTTTCCCCAATTAATTAATTAAATTTGAATATTTATTATTTTATTTGATTGGAACTTTCATTTGAAACAATACTTGATTTAAATCCTAAATGTGAACTTTTGATTCAAATTTGAAGTTTTTTGAAGATTCAGTTCAACTTGAATTTGAAAGTTTGGAAAAGTTTCAAAAACAAATGCAGAATTGGAGTTATTTTTTATCTTAAATTTGAATATTCATTTAATTTATTTAAGTGGGACTTTGAATTAAAACCTGGTTCGAAAACTTGAGTTTAAAATTCAAAAGTGAATTCAACTGCAGAGTCTTGAATAAGAACTTCTTTCAATTTCTAATTCAAAAGTTTACCCAAACCCTAAACCCTAAACCCTTGCCTCTGCAGTCAAGCGAACCTGGGGCATATTTGCGAGTAATATACTTCTTTTAAACTCTAATTTTCTCCACTTATATTGTTTTGCAACTACTTTCTTATTTTAGTATTCATTAATGCTTTCTAATTCTATTATTTGACTCCTACTTGCAGCAGCAGCACCTGGCAGCTGCTGCTGCGGGAGCGGGCTGCTGCAGCGGGGTGTAGGTACACCCCAGCTTCTGCAAATTCAATTAACTTATTTATTTGTTTTCACAATTAATTTAATTGAGGCGAGGTGCCCCTCTGTCTTTATAAATGTGCTTCTGCAGCCGCTTGAAAGCAGCAGGAAACCGAATGGAAATGTCCCGGGCGAGTTTGTCTGCTGCTGTTGCTGCTGCTGCTCTGCTGCTGCTGCTGCTGAAGCTGTACCCGCTGCTCCCGCGCCTCTCTTCTCTTCTTATTTCTTCTTCTTCTTCCAGCAAAGATTCAAAAGCCCTTTCCACTCCAAATGTCAAACCATCAAACCCTAAACCCCCGGCCCCCTCCCCCCCGCCGCCGCCGCTGCTGCTGCTGCTGCTGCTGCTGCTGTCAGCGCGGCCAAGGGACTGGTCCCCCGAGGGGGCCCTCTTGGGGCCCCTCGAGGAGCCCCTGGGGGCCCCTGGAAGGGAAGTGTCCAGCAGCAGCGAGGGGGCCCCCCTGGAGTTTGGAGAGTTGGATTTGCTGTCTCTTTTTGCTGCTGCTTTTTGTTTCATCTTTTTGTGTCTCTCTGCTGCTGCTGCTGTTGCTCGGATTTCTGCTGCTGCCTTCTGCATCAGCTGTTTCAGGTGCTCTATAGACCCTTTGTCCTCCTCCCAGCAGCCCTTGCTGCTGCTGCTGCTGCTGCTGCTGCTGCTGCTGGCCCTGCTGCTGGCGCATCTGCTCTCATACGGGCTGAAGGGCAAAGGGGTGAGTCGGTAGCCAACAGCCGCCAGGGGCTCGCAGTCAGCAGCAGCAGCAGCAGCAGCAGCAGCA